GCGGGAGATGACCGTTTGGCGGGAGTTGGTCGTTTTTCGCTTGATTAGAGGTTTCCAATTGTTACGTATCTTTACGCTAGCTTGACTAAATGCGTTGTTGGACAACATATACGCGGCTTCTTTGAATTTTCTCTTAAACCAGTATTCCTCTTTGTAGATGATTCCAGCTTGACCCCACTTGATGTTATGTTGATGAGTCCAAACATGCTCTGCTATTCCGGATTTGCTGGTTTCTTCTCTCTGTGTGTGTTTTTTGTGCTCAGCAATGCGAACTTCCAATGGCCTCTTAGTTTCACCGATGTATAATTCTCCGCACTCGCAGGGTATCCGGTAAATGCAATTCTTGAAATCGCAGTCCGTGTTTGGTGTCCTGGTTTTTGTGAGGCTGCTACGGATAGTCTTCCCAGATCTGAATCAGGTCCTGATGTTATACTTGGACCCAATACTTCTTATCCTTTCCGATAATCCTCTTACGTAGGGAAGTACAAGTACTGGGGGCGGTTTCTGTTCCTTGTGGAGCTCTTGTTGTCTTCTAGCTGAAGTCTGGTCTAGCATCACTCTAGAGTAACCATTACGTTGAAGGTCATTTCTTTTCGAGACCTTTCTATGTATAACAGGGCCCGATGGCACGGTCTAGTAGAGTCTTGATGATTCCTCTCTTAGTCCATATCCGAACCACCATCAATCGACTCCGTTACTACGGAGAAGAAGATCATCATGAAAAATTAGAAATGAAACTTTCAATGGTTTTATACCACTTGTATTTGTAACTGACGTTACTGCAGTTTCGTCCTACAAGGATATTTTCAAACTGATACAATAAACTTTGTGATGCTTGATGGTACTTCATTTTCAATTTGAAGTATTATACGGCTTGTCCAGCTGTACTTGTTTCTTCCTATGAAATGATGGATGTAGCTATTACCTATTACGGGTTAGGAAAAATGAGAAATGAAACTTCCTTCGTTTTTATACCACTTGCATTTGGACCGCGTTATGCATAACTCGACCAAGCGCCATTTCGTAAATTTCGAGATTTTGGTGCCATCTAAAGCACAATAGTGTAATTTACCTATAACAAATTTAAGCAGATACAGGAACCTGCAATTTTGAAGTTATAACGTACAGAGCTAAGCGCCAAAGATTGAATCTGCACTTTCTTATACATCACTTCAGTGGTATTTTCCACTCATACCAAAATAAGAGGTGATTGTTGTTCATATCTACTTCACGTACTGTTAATAAACGTGCAAAAAGAGTTTATTTACTAAAGAATAATGAATGTAGACTGCTAATCAACAAAGAAGCCTCAAGACCAATTTGGTAAAAGAACTTTATGTTCTGGAATATTTAGACCTTCCTGTATCTTCTGCTGTATATTCAAATTAAATTGAAACTGTCCAAGTTTCACTTCAGAAGCAGAAATGCTAAGATTAGAAAGTTCACAAAGGTGTATCACTTGAAATGTATATCAACCGACAGTTTGAATTTACCGCCTAGAAATGACAATATACAAGCCAAGCTTTAAATCAAGGTAACGAAAAATTGACCCCAAAAGATCAAAGTGCCGCCGTTCAAGTTGCGCTTCTGTATAGATAGGGTGTTCTGTGGCCCAACTCGGACTCATTAACAGTCTACCTGGTAATCGATGGGAGTGTATCGATTGTAGATCCGATGAGCAAGGCCGAACTCGTAGCCATACCCAAAAATAAGTTTAAAACGTCCATTGTCACTGAATACTTAAGTGAGGCAGAAGATATGTGGGTGTGCTAACATTTTGAATCATTTAGAATTTTTGTGTGTTGTATTTATCTGCCTGGAGATGATCAGCTTTCTATCGCAAATTTTTCATCAAAACTCGATTCCCTTGTCCTAAATGAAGGAGATATATTTCTTCTTTGTGGTGATTTTAATTTAAGTACAACAAATTGGGCTGATGCGAACAACTTCTTGATAGCGTCAAATGTAGATAGAAAATATTCGGATTTAATTGATACCTTTTCATTTGAAAATCTTATGCAATTTAACTCAGTTCGAAATTTGAACAGTAAATTTTGGATTTGATTCTTTGCAATGAATTTAATATTTCTAATTCACAACAATGCTCTTGTCCACTCGTAAAAGGGAACACTCATCATCCTTGCATAGAATTTTTATTTGAAGTTTCATATTCTAGGCAATTGAAACCGGTATCGTCGTTATTCTTAAATTTTAAAAAAGCGAACTATACTCGAATCAACGACTCTCTTGCTGATATTTCTTGGGAAGATATCTTAAATACCGGTTCAGTTGATTCCTCCGTTCAGAAATTCAACTGTATTGTAAATAAATTAATTGATCAAAACGTTCCAAAAATTTTTAAAAGTAGACAGTTTCCTTCATACTATTCTGCCTCAACTATTAAAGTAGGGGAGACGGGGGCTGGTTCTAACAAATTTTGAATTAAGCGTAATATTTTGTAAACTAATAAACTAATAAACCTAATAAAAGAAAAAAATATGTTTCACACAAAATGGAAAATGTATAAGAACTTAAATGATTTAAATTCATTTACGCTTCTCCGTGCTAGATCAAAAGCATTAATGAAGAGAGATTTCGACAATTACATTTTAAATGTTGAGGCTGACGTAGTAAATAATCCCAAACGTTTTTGGAACTTTTCATCAATTAAAAAGCACTCGGTCAGCAAGATTCCCCACAAAATGCAGTTAAATAATCATGAAGCAAAATATTGTCATGAGATAGCAAATTTATTTTCAAAATTCTTCAAAAGCGTCTTTGTTGATAAACAAAATGCATTTTGTCAGGACCAATTTACTGAAACAGACAATAATTCTAATTTATCACAAATTATTTTAAGCAAAAAGGAAGTAGAACAAGGCTTAGTAGAATTAGATGTTAATAAAGGCTCAGGACCTGATCAAATACCTGCAATCTTCTGCAAAAACTGTGCTCATACTTTATGTACTCCTCTAACAATTCTTTTTAATATGTCACTTTGTTGTGGATATTTTCCTGTCAGTTGGAAAGTTGCGAGAGTAATACCCATTTTTAAAAACGGAAGGAAAGATAATATTGAAAATTATCGTCCTATAAGTAAAATATCAATAATACCAAAACTATTTGAACGCTTAATTTATAAATATATATTTCATTTAATTAAAAACATTATNTTTTTTTACCCTGAATTCAGTGGAGTCAGGGGCTTCAACCTTGACTTTGGCACTTCAGGATATACCAAGCCACGCAAGTAGACAGTGAATGATTCGTCGTTTTTTTTTTAATATTTATTTTCTCGCCACTTGCCATAATACCTTTATATATAGACAATATATTGTTCAAGGGGTAGGAATTAGTTTCATACTGATGATTTTATTTTATGTTTGACATACGTGATACGCACCTTTCGCTCTGGATCCAAAGCTATCGGCTATTTAATTTTGGGGTTATTTATGGTTTCTTTTGGTTATCTTGAAACCTATATTAATTTCTACCACATTTGATCGTGACTTAATAATATTTCAACTCCAAATACAAATTGTATGTACATAGATATTATTTACGATATTTTCGTGACGTATATATAATAAATCAGATCATTATGTAATTTTTTTCTTATTGATGACAATTCAGTTCGTTATACCAATTTTTTTGTGACAGATGTGCTTAAGTTCATTTGGTAATTTAGGAACAGGGTTCAGATAAGCATTCGGAAGGGGTGAATTAACTTGCATATTTCCCCCACTCCTGTCTTCACTCAGTTACCCGGAGCCGAATTCTTGGACTGTCACAGTGACTACCCAACATAGTAGTGTGATCGAGCGTTACAGTATCTTGTTTTCCAAAAGTGAAGTTCAGCTCTTGCTATATGATGGAGTTGGCCGATACTTGATGAAAATCCATAACACTTTATTGTGAGATTTTCACCAAACAGTTTCACAAAAATACAACACGTGTTTCTTTCCTTCGTTGTGGTTTTTCATTAAGGTAGTTGTGAGTTGTTCAAAACAGACGCAAGTGGTTATAGACAAGTAGGTACTGCTTTGAAAAGTTTACATTAGCAAATACAGTTTTTGAACATTTTTTCAATAAAAAAGATGTTGGGGTGGTTGAAGTTAAAGTGATACACCCTGTTTGTTTGAAGGTGATTGACAATGTTTCGTGATGAATTTCACTAGTTCGGACTTCCATTGTCTACTATATAAAATGATTTGAAATCCCTGAAACAAGTAAAAAA